TTCCACCAGTGACACACACACACACCCGTGCAGGAGACCACCTGAAGTCCCACCTCGTGCAAGACAGAGAGCAGCAGGCCCAAGACATGGTGCCGCAGGAGACACAAAGCAACACTTTTTAGGCCTTTCAGGACTGCATAGGAGGAAGAAAAATGTAAACGTGTCTCGCTTCTATCAGCAAAAACAACAGTTTCCACAGCACCACATAATCCGGGCACAGAAGCGTCGCCTCTTCAAGGTTATTTAAGTACAGCTCGGCGTCTTCTGCTGACTTCCTGTGAGAAGACAAAAAAGGAGAAGTCGAGGTTCAGATGAGGTCTTTGTCAGTGCTTCAGCGTACAGTGCAGTGCAGTACAGTAGCTTGTGAAAGGAAGGGGGGTGGGCTGTGAAGTCTTTGTGTTATCTGTGGCTTCTTTCTGGCTGTATTAACCCCCACCATAACCACCTAGACCCCCGCCCCCCCCAAAAAAAAAATCTGCGATGACAGAGGAACCCGGGGTGGGGGTGAAAGTGGGGTGCAGAGAGGCACCAGCCTCAATCCCTTACCGGAGGGGACAGACACCGCACCAGTGAGAGCCTGCTTTGACGAAGCCGCGGATCGGTTCCGAAATCCGGTTCCAGGACCTGCACAGCTGGAGTTGCCCATCCCTGACAAGACAGAGCTCAGTGAACACAAGAATGGCTACAAATGGGAGGAGACCATCTAGCTTGTCTGGCAGGTAGTAAGTTATTGTTCTCATCCAGCTGTTTCTTGAATGGCACCAGGGTATCATGGGCAGCTCGTTCCACACTCCTGCCACCCTTTGTGTAAAGAAGGGCCACTTGCTCCCTGTTCCCAATACACTTCTCTTTAGTGTCCTCTGGGTTCGTGTTTCACTGCTGGTTCTGTGGAGGCCCAGTGGAGTCCAGGAAAAACCTCAATTCAGGCTGCAGTTTGCAGGATTCGCAGTTATTCTGTGTCCATAATGGAGCCTTCTTGGATCTGCATTAATTATAGGTGGATTTTTTCCCTCCATCTACTCCATGCAAGCAGTTGTATTATCCCAGTCAATTGTTATGGAAAGGGGGGAGCTCCGATATCTAATAAGGGAGGATTGACGCAGCGTTGGGGGGGGGTTATTTTTGCAGGAACCTATTTAAACACCCCCCTCACCCCACGCACTGGGACAGGGAGCACAAAGAACAAAGAAGGGTTTGAGAGTGCCCTGAGCTACCAGGAAGTGGCTCCTGCTTCCCATGCAAATCCGCTGCTCGTTGCTCCAGCCCTTTGCATAACCCCCGGGGCTTCGGGATGGGTGCAGAGCACAGACTCTCCAGGCAGCGCCAGGCCCAGGCCCCAAATAACACCCGCGAGGGGGAGCGCCCCGGGGCATCGTGATGTCATCAACAGTCCGGAAAGGGCTTCCCCACCCCACTCTCCATGTCCTCCCTGCAAGTCAGGAACGATGGCTTCAGAGATACTTGAAGAAGGGGAGCACCTTTGATTTGTAGGCGGGGCTGCTGTTTTTTTACAGGCTGAACCCTCCTCCCTGTTCCCCTCAGTTTCCTGCACCTGCAATCATGCACAAAGTGCACCAAGCAAAGGAGATGCTGTACTTTTGGCTGTATAAGTTGATGCAATGCACAGCCTTGCAGCAAAGCAGCATAATAACACTGCTGTTTGTACCTTGCATAAGTAAACAGACTTGCAAAGCACCT